TTATTGTTTTTGTCTCATGTCTTTCTCACTAATTTTTCTTGTTTTTGCAGGTTTTTCATCACATGGTTCTCATATTCCACTCATTTAAAGGTATATTTATCTAATCTTTCACTTATTTTTTATGTTTTCTTCATTTGGTAATTTTTTGACTTGAAAACACCAAAATTTATATGAATTTTTCAGTTTTGTCTCATGTTTTCTCACTAATCTATCTTTTTCTTGCAGGTTTTTAATCATATGGTTATCATCTTCATTTTGATATGTATGTTGTGTGTTCTATAAAAGTATATATATATATATCTAATCTTCCACTCATTTTCTGTGTGTTTTAAGCCATTTGAATGTTTTTTGATATGCAGATTTTTCAGATCTGGGCTTGATATGCAGGTTTTTCAGATCTTGAAGACTTCTGGGACGACTTACATGTTAGTTGTCTAAAGTATAATTTTCTGGACGACTTACTAGGTCGTCTGGACGACTTACTTGTTAGTCGTCTGGACGACTTACTTGTTAGTCGTCTGGACGACTTACTTGTTAGTCGTCTGGAAGTTGTCTGAACTTCCTGGAAGTCGTCCGCACTTCCTGTAAGTCGTCTGGACTTCCTGTAAGTCGTCTGAAAGTTGTCTGGACTTCCTGAAAGTTTTCTGAAGCTGTCTTGTTTCATATCAAGTGGAGTCCAAACTTATCTTTGTAGAGGAATGATCTATTATAGTTTAGTTTGTGGTATGTTTTGTGATTTGCATGTGTACTCTTTTAATTGTGAATTTTTTGTAAAATCAGTAATATTGTTTCCCAAGATATAATATATGTGATAACAATGTGTTTACACATTTACAAATCAATGAAATAATAGACTTCAACATCAAACCCTTCTTCCATGACTTGTAATGTAATGTATAATGTAATGTAATGCATGACTTGTCTTTTCAAATTTTTATTTAACTCGAGAGACGACTAACCATAAGGTCGTCTGGACGACTGAAATTAAGGTCGTCTGGACGACTGAAATTAAGGTCGTCTCTCTCCTTTGAAACAAGATCAGCATGTGACGAACCTTCACTCAAAAATAACATCCTCGCTCCTTTGAAACAAGATCAGCATGTGTCAAACCTTCACTCAAAATAACATCCTCACTCATTTGAAACGATCAACCACAAAATTCCAACAACCATCTTCCAACAACCATTCTCCATACACTGCACGTAACTGACGCGTCATCTAAAAGAGTAAAAATAAAAAAACATTAGCAAACATAGAACAAAGAAAACAAAAGTTTATTAAAGATAGAAGCAGACGACTGAAATTTAAGTCATCCAGACGACTAAACATTCAGTCGTCTGGTCAACGCAGAGGTTATTTTTGCAATTGACTTTGAAATCTGTTAATTGGGACGACTGAAATATCAGTCGTCTGGATTAGCTTGATAAAAAAAAATCTCCAAAAAACACAGACGACTGAAATTTCAGTCGTCGTAGGTTAGTTTTGTATTTGACTAGAAAATTTCAGAAGTTTGACTTTTCAGGACGNACGCAGAGGTTATTTTTGCAATTGACTTTGAAATCTGTTAATTGGGACGACTGAAATATCAGTCGTCTGGATTAGCTTGATAAAAAAAAATCTCCAAAAAACACAGACGACTGAAATTTCAGTCGTCGTAGGTTAGTTTTGTATTTGACTAGAAAATTTCAGAAGTTTGACTTTTCAGGACGACTTACATTTCAGTCGTTTGAGAAAAAATGAAATATCAATATTTTATTGAAATTCGACGACTTACATTTCAGTCGTCGTAGGTTAGTTTTGCAATTGCGAAAAAAAACTTCAATATTTAATCATATCCAGACGACTGAAAGTTCAGTCGTCTGCTGGACGACTGAACTTTCAGTCGTCTAGGATTTACAAGGTTTGACCAGAATCTCAGAATAAAATCCTGGACGACTGAATTTTAAGTCGTCTTCCGGACGACTGAATTATAAGTCGTCTTGAGAGTTGAAGTTTTTTTCACAATTGCAAAACTAACCTATTACTACCGAAATGTAAGTCGTGAGTTCCAATAAAATATTGATATTTCAATTTTTTCGCAGACGACTGAAATTTCAGTCGTCCGAAAAAGTCAAAATTCTGAAGTTTTCTTGTCAAATGCAAAACTAACCTACGACGACTGAAATTTCAGTTGTCCAGATTCTGAGGATATTTTTTTTTATCAAACTAATCCAGACGACTAAACTTTCAGTCGTCTCTAGAAACAAATTGCAAAGTCAATTGCAAAAATAACCTCTGCGTTGACCGGACGAATGCAGACGACTGAAATTTCAGTCGTCTGGACGACTGAAATTTCAGTCGTCTGGACGAACAAATCTGGAAAAAAAAACTCGATTTCATACCTTAAATTGGTGAGCCACTTTCTTTGACTATATTAACCCTAGAAAATGTAGAATCAAGCACTCATGATCTCAAACGAAGGTAATCCACCCTGAATCTTTAATTTCTTTGACTATATGAACCCTAAAAAATGTAAAATCAAACTTTTGGGTTTTTTTAGCTCATTGTGGAGAGAAAGTGAGAGATATGTATTGTAATGTGTTGTTTAGTTCATGAGAATAGAGAAAGAAGAAGAGTAAATGGAATTTGGAGGCATTAAGAGCTTCAAAATTGGTTGTTCATGGTTGTTGGAGTATTGATGACAATGGCAATCTTGTAATTACTTGAAGATGATGATGGTGAGAGAGAGTAAATATGTCATTTTCGAAAAAAAAAACAAAAAAAAAAATTGATGGCATTTTCGTGAATTATATGAACTTGTGGGGTGAATTGGACAAAATAAAGTTCCAAAAAAAAGGAGGTTAGTTTTGTGGTTGACTTCAAGTTTCAGGTCAATTCTGCAAAAAGCCCTTATATATTTTTACATATTATCTTTTCTTTTTTTGAACTACCTCATCTTATCTATTTATCTATGTAACCATTACATATTCATGCTTTGTAGTCTCTACTAATTAAAAATCAACTTTAGCTGTCACCCTGCATTTGTTCAACTTATATGGTTTTAGGCTGGTCTGGCGATATTTTCTCGTGAGAAGTTTGACATATGGTTTGAATTGTTGGCTAAATGCTTTCTAAAGCTTAACCTCTTATTTATAGATGTCTTATATTTAAATTTTGCTAGAAAAAGTGAACTCCAATTTTCTCAAAAAAAAAAAAAGAAGTGAACTTCAAACAAGAGTTAACTTAATATAGTTTCACTTTCTAAAAAGTATATAAATTCTTTTCTGGGGGGTAAAATGTTAAGAAAATATACAGAATTATAAACTCAGAACCTCGATTTTTAGAAAGGTCTGGACTTCTGTCCAAAAAGAAAAAGAAATAAAAGAAGTGTTTGGACTAAAAGTGGCCAGATTTATAGTCTTCCCGTCTCTTTTTTCATATTCACACCATATTCAAATAGTAGTAGTAATAGTATAGTACTATCATTTTCAAAATGAATGACGTCAGTTAATGAACAAAAACTATAGGAAAATGACATGTATTGTATTTTAAGATTTTTTATAAGATGAAAAATAATTGTCATGATCATAATGGTAACGGCCGTAGTTTATATGTATTTAATTATTACTTTGATAATCATGCGCATTAGACTTAAACTTAGACATAATGTTGAATTATGAGTAGGCCATAAAGCCAATCAGCCGTTATTAGTTTGCATTTTGTTTAAATTCACACCTGTTCGGGTATGTGCATTTAGTCTGACTAGATCCGTTCCCCGGGCTACGCCCGGGTTGTTTGGGTGTTTTTTTTTTCAATTTAAAAAATTCCTAAAATGTTTAAGATTTAAATTCAAAATAATATAGTCCAATGAGTTAAACCCATATTTTCAATGCAGCGTAATTAGTTAATGATTGTGACCTTTTTAAAATTACAATCCAGTGATGAATGGTTTTGTGTTGGTGTCATTTAGCTTATATATTATTTAGTTGTATGTATGTGTATTTAGCATCAATAATCCCAGATATATTTGAGAACGAAAATGGTGGGAAACAAAATAATTTCGAGTACATTTGTATTTGAATATTAAACGATTTAATGATTAGTTAGAATGTTTGTTCTCTAGTTTGGTTCATTTTTTTAATGGTTATGAATATAATTAATATATATAATTAATTCTCTTGGGCGATTTGAAAATAAACGTTAAATTGATGATCCGTGCAATCGTTTAGTTCAGTGTCTGGGTCGGTTTAAAAAACACTGGCTGACTCATGAGATAATCTCAAGACGAACTTCTAATAACTATTCATTGGGTTGGGTGTGAGTTTTTGCGGCTCAGGTTTATACGGTCTTGGTCGTAAAGAGAAAACGTGTAGTAATCTGAAGACGAACTTCTAATAACTACTCTTGCATTTGAAGCTTAAACCAAAATACAGGTCACAACGTAAAACTAAGAAGACACTTAAAATAACAATCCTAAGTTGGGAAAGACAATGCATCGAATTTTAAGTATGACACCAATATGCATAAGTTAATAGTAAATATTAAAACACACTCGGACTCCTGGTAAAGATTTTACAATCGTCCAAAGGTAAATCCATTTTAAAAGAAAAGAAAGCAAAATAGTCAATAGTAACAAAACCAGGTTCATAATGCTATAAAGGAAATCCATTTAAAATGAAAACAGAGCAAAACATTAAACTGAAACAAAACCAGTACTAACTTCCATTAGCCATGCTTTGTGCGCTTGGCTCCTTCACCCTCAATCCCAACGCCACCCCTTTTCACCGACTCCTCTGCGTGATCTTCCCTTCCTTTTGCAGTTGCCTCCTCAGCTGCATCTCCAATGTTGACTACGGGATCTTCGGTGTCAAGATGGAGAACCTTTGTCACAGTCAATGTCTGAGACTTGCCACTGAGATTATAGGCGGACACCATGACAACAAATTTCCTTGTTTGTCCTATGGTGCCAATTAGAGCCTGAGGCACTGGGACAATGTGGTCCTCGTCTTCAATCTCCTTGGCCTGATATATTTTTACACATTGTAAGTACAATTTTATTGAAATGAGAATATAACTTATAAATGCTTCCAAACGTTCTGGTGACTGCAATACCTCGTAGTAGTTATCAACCAACTCTGCAGCCTTTTTCCCAGTCAGCTCCTCTCCAGCATCACCGAGAAGTACAAAGACGGCTTGATCCTTGTGGTCATACACAGATAGCTTCGAGTGGTACCTACAACGGATAGGTATTAATAGCCATAGTAAGCAAAGAAAATGTGATAGCAAACAATACTACTTACAGTGGCACACCCTGAATTTCATTCTTTCCACACTTCTTGCACATCAGAGTTGTTGCCCCTTTGATGGCCTTGGTATGGCACACACGACATCCTATATAATACCACCCAGCACCATGGACGATATCATCAATAGTAGCTGTACACTGAAACAAAGCAACCTGTGGAGAAATTGTAAATTAAATTAGATACTTACATTATCGTCTTAAATGTTTCAGATAGTGGGAGGTGTAATACCTTTGCGGATGCCTGCTTCATGTAGGCGAGTATGTCACCCAAGGTCGCTGGCTCAGGCTTAGTAACCACTGTTGCGTTAACTCTGTTGGCAACTTCGAAGTTCGATTCTAGCCTGTACAAATATGAATGAAGATATCACGGAATTGGAGGAGTCTAAATTATTTTAGAACACAGCATTTCATATAACCTACCAACTGAGATATGAGCGTGTTTCTTGGATATCAAGATCTATGAAGACCCGCGATGCCGTAGTAGAAGACAGAGAGAAAACACCTATGAGAAAACATGAAAAATGTTTAAGAAGTGAAACAATGTCATACTGATGAAAGTGATATGTTTATGTAATTCAATCTTATTGGAAACACTGCTAAGGTTTTTGATTAAAAAAAAAAACCCATGTTTTTTTTTTATCTTTTGGTTTTGCTTGATTATCCACCTATTTTCTATCAATACACTTTCAAATAAACAGTATAGAGTTTTGCAAAATACTTTTGTACCAGAATAATACATTATTTCTGTGTCAAAGATTTATAATACATAGACGGTCCTAGTTCGAATGCTATCTAACATGTACGAAAATAAAATAAAAGTAGGGAAACCAAACCTCCAAAACGTTTCGGGTTCAAAGTGGTGACCAAGATAACACTTGCAGTCCCTCCAGATGCTTTGAACTTGGCACAGAACTCGAAGGCAGCTTTATCCCAAAGATTCAGCTTAACCACTGGGTCGCTGTGACAACCAATAAATGGGAACCAAAATTAAGTGTTCGGGTGAACTCAATGTTTATTATTTGCATGTAGGATTTTTTGTGAATTACATACTCATGTGTTTGGACGTGGAGCTCAAGACGGCGAGTAACAGCTATCCCTGCTTCGTCAATTAGGAGTTTGTCATTGGGAACCTCCCCATTCACAAGTTTGATGTGCCCAATGTAATCTGCATTGAGAGGACAGAAAAACACAGTGTTTAAAATCTCATAAACCATTTCAAATATAATACAGTCGTATCCTAGCTTTGGAATTCAGAGTTCACAATAATCAAATACAAACAGTGTGAATAAGTATATGGTCTGCACTTACCATAAAGATCACCTCGCTTATCTGCAGCAGCTTCAAATTCTTTCTGGCTATGAACCCGGAATCTGTCCACAGGGAAACATACAGTGCTGTCTTTGAATTCAGAGAGGACTGAATTCCAAGAGAAACTGATGGTTACGCTTGGGTCAGCAACACTGTACATGTTTTTGCTCTGTGATCCAAAAAACCTTGTGAGTCGGTAAGTTGCACCAGCTTTCAGGTGACGCAAATAGGTGTCACACCTGCCTGGTGGGATGAAACCCTGGATAACAGTTTCCTGTTGTTTAAAAGGTTGTAAAATAAAGTTAGGTAATGCGGTCGAATGATCTTAAACCACTGGCAGAATAAATCCATGCCGTACAATAAAATAAAAACAATTACTTTAACAACTAAATAGTAATTAAGAAGACTAACACGCAAGCAAGGACATCAAATTGGAAAACGTAATTCAGTTATGCAGTTCTTAAACTAAACATGTGTACGGAACTTAAGACGTTTATTAATCTTAACCCATAATTATATTTCAAAAATATTCAATCTTCGCAGTTGTTAAGCGTAAAATATTATTCGTAAAAATCTTTTACCAAAAAATTTCGGTACGATAATTACCTAACATAGACCAACAACTAATTAGGAAAATTAATCAACCTTCCATGTGGTTACAACAGATATGTGTTTCGAACGTAAAATGAAAAACTAAAGGCGGACAAATAATTAAATTAGAATTAGCCGGTCAATACCTCTTCATCGATGAGAAGCATTTCAATGCCGATGAGTGTCTTTGTGATGGGATTTGTGGCCTCCCAAAAGTGAATCAACCGGAACCGGACCTCGCCATCATTAGGCCCTAAAGTAACCTCTTTGAAGGTTAGCACATTCCCAACCTCGTCAGCGACGATTGATTTCCCTTTCGCGGCGGCGGAAGCGGATCCGTTCCACCCACCGGCGATGTTGACATCAGAAGAGGAACCGCGTTTAAGGATTGGTTTGATCGCCTTTGAGTTAGCCCCCGGTAGGCCTTCTGGTTTGCTTGAGATGAGTTGGTCGGAAGCAACACCGGGTTGACCAACGATTTTGACCGGACCAGAGGGGACCGTCGGTTCGTTGGCTGATGTCAGTGACTCTTTCACACCGGTTGGCTTCATGTTCTTGGATAATCTTTAGGTAAAAATAGGGAGAAAATCTTTTGGTGGTCGAAATCATGGAGATCGAGCTTCTTAAATAAGAATTTTTCATGGAGAAAGTAAAGAGAGACAATGAATGTAATTAAAGATTTAAGAGTAGTGGGGGAAGCTTGAAAGATTGTAGAGTAGTTGAATTAAAGACAGTGAAACGAAGATGTCGAAGAAGCTGAAGAGAAATGAAGGACATCTCGTAGCCGAAGATGTCGTAGATTTGGAAATAATTAGGGTTACTCTGCGGCACATAGATTTAGTGTAGATGAAGTTCTATGGGCTTTTCAGGGGCCACTTTATGGAGACCACAATAAACGAAAACTCATTATAGCATATATCTTTAGTATTTGTTGCACTTGCTGGGCCTCTCAGTGTCCAAATCGTCCAAAACAAAAGCCCATTCGAAACCCATTCATTGGTTGAGCTGGATGCAAACTTAATTCTGATTGGATGATTAAAAAATCCTAGGTGGCAGCATGAGGGGGGAGTATTAGCACCTTTTAGTATAGTAAAGATTGTCTAATCGTTTAAACGAAGGTGGACTCAATCTAGAGGTTCATTTTCTGAGCATGCTAACATTTCTGTAATGATAGTATACAGAAAAAAAATTATATAACACTCCCAACAGTTTGTCTTTGGTCTTTGCAATTGAAATTCCAAAATACTCAAAATTCGCTGAAAACAATGCAACTAAAATAAAAAATTTAGCAAAAAATAAACAATGCAACTAAAATAGCGAGAGAGTTAATGGTAATATCTTTGTTTTCTTCGTGTCAAATATAATGATGTATGCTTTGCTTTCATCTCTTACCCACGAATTATGTTAGTCCATATTTCAACAATAGGGTCCATTATCATTATTTCTCGTCCTAATGTCTCATTCAGTGTTATCAAATTCCATGAATTATACAGAGGGACCTTTTTCGTTTTTATATTCATATCTATCTATCGCTATCACAATATTCATATAACAAAGTCTAAATTTTGTATTCACACGTCTCTTCTCCTTATCTTATAACCTCAAATATATCCACTGAACATTATGTGTGTTTTTTTTTTATGTTAATATCTACTGTATATCCTGATGATACAAGTACATTATAATTAAACATCTGTTAGTTTTAGTTTTATTTTAACTGTTCAAATGTTTGGTAACGGATATTTTTCCAATTGCTTTGCCTTTGTTTCAGAAGTAAACATAATGATGTTTACAAAGATAATAGTGAATATATTTTAGTCAAAAAAAAAATGAAAACATTTTGATCAAACAAACAATAATGAATACATTAAGATTTACACAAATTACAGTAAAAAAGGTAAAAACATATAAAGTTTTTTTTTTCTTTTGAATTTTAATCACATATTCTCCACACACACATAATCCCAATACTCAAAACAAAGAAAAACACAACCACCTTAAAAAAAAATTACATATTAAACAACAAAGTAAATCAAATAAATTAAAGATTGTTCCCCACAAATAACAAAAATAACCATATTATTCTTCTTCCTTTGATTTGGGTTCTGGCAAGTAAAGTATGGTCACACATTTAGTTTCAAAGATCAGACAATTGGTTGAGTTTTGAACCGATAGAGCACTTTCTTCTTCTTGGAAGTCTGGTTATCGATTGTGATCACAATCTTTCCTGGTTCACCCACCTTAAAAGAATCAGCTATCACCGGTTCGTCAGTTAAACCAATCTTTCGGGTCTTAGAGACGATTACATCATAGCTTCCCTCTGTGGTCGGCTCAAACTGAGCTCCATAGCTCACATCTGCACCCAAAACCCTAAGCTCCCATGAGAGCGTGCAAGCCTGCCACAACCAACACAATCCACATTAAACATCTTAAACAACAACACTTTACAATAATCATAATCAATATTAATTTGAAAGTATATAATAAATACCTCAGAAGCAGGTAACTCGATGGTGTGTTTGGCTGCTGGTTTAACGATGGCTTCAGTTATGGTGTCTCCAATATCATTGCTAAGTCCACCGTATTTAACCGGCACTTGTTCAGGAGCTATGTATCTGTTTTTAACCAACATAAAGTCTTAATAACAAAAATGAAAAAACATTGAATTATATCAAACTATAAAAAGTGGTTAATTACTTGAAAATAGTATCAGCAGATTTGGCTGGACCAGCTAGTACCATCTTGCTCCTAGTCCTTGGAGATGTGATAATAGACCCGAATGTTTTGTAGTAAGGAATATACCACCATGGAACATTGATGAACAGCTGAAAAACAAAATAAATATCATTAACCATTACGTAACCATTACGTAACAATAACCTAACCACTACATACCTCTCTAGTGGCGAACTCTGGATAATTATCCTCGAACTGTTTCACGGCACGCCTGATGAACTGCCACAAGGCTCTCTTACCGAGTCCAGGAGCATTCCTGAAGTCACTGACGAACACAAACGATGACTTGGCATCAGGGCTGGTGAAGTCAAGAGCCCTCACACACTTCTCTTGTAGCTGAATCCTCCAGTTGAGGAACTTGTTAAGCTTCTCCTTGTCGGAGAAAAGCTCCTTGTTCTGGAACTCTCCGTAGGAGCTGTAGATCACGACGTGGCCTTCCTTGTCTACACCATGAACGAATACCATCTTCTCGAACTCGCTGGCTTCTTCTCCTGCCTCGGATTCGACGAGCTCGTCGATTTTGTTCTCCTTGCGCCACTGGACGGTGTTTTTCAGCATGGTTAAGGCTTCCTTGACCTTGAAGTCTCTTGCGCGGAGGAACTTTAAGAGGATCATATCGGATCTTTGGTCTTGGAGGAGAGGAACTCCGTAGATGGAGACTTCTTCTGGCTCCACTGGCTCCGCGACGACCACCGTTGCAGCGGATTCGGGTGGAGTGACGGAGACGATGGACTCTTCTATTGCTTCCACTGTCTTGGTTCCATCTTCTTCAGCACCAGAGGCTTTCTCTGTGGCTGGCACAGCTTCTTTCTCCTCTGGTTTGGTCTCCTCCGGAGCCGCCGCCGCCTCAGATTTCTCCTCCGGCTTGGTCTCTTCTGGAACCGCCGCATCAGATGATTTCTCCTCCACCTTGACGACGGCTTCTTCAGGTTTCTCCTCTGTTTTCTCTTCTTCTTTAGTTTCCTCCGCCGGTTTCTTCTCTTCTGTTTTCTCTTCAATCACCGGCGGCGCCGGAGGAGTGAACTCCCGTTTGTTCAGAGCCTCTCTAACGAGCTCCTTGAACTCCTCAAGAGCCTTCTTCTCAAGCTCCTCAGGAGACAGAACAATCACCTTCTCAGCTACAACTGTCTCTTCCTCCTTCACCGGCACCGATTTCTCCGCCTCCGAGGTCACCTTCTCGTCCTTCTCCGGCACGGTCTTCTCCTCCGTAGCTACCGGAGCAGGAGCAGTCACCTCCTTCTCCAGCACCGGAGCAGGAACAGTCACCTCCTTATCGGTGGCAGCCACGGCGGCTACAACATCAGCGGATTTTTGTGCCTCTTCTTGAGCCATCTCTGATTCCTTTTTTTTAGAATTCAAGAAAAGAGAGAGAGAATATGTTTTGTGATGAGAGAGAGAAGGGAGAGAGAGAGGTTATATAAAACGGAAGACAAAAGAGAACACAGACTGGTCGGAGCTGTTTATGTTTCTGTTTGACAGCTCATTCGAATGCTTTCTTTGTGGGTCTCTCTTTTCCTCCAACGGCCGTCTTTTGCTTCACGATTTAGTTAACTTTCTATTTTTAACTATTTACCACATCACTTTTTTACTCAACTTTTCCTTAATTTTATATTTTTCCATTAAGTAGCAGTTAGATTATTTCCTATACGCGATACTTTTGGGAATATTTTATCATATATATTCACAAAATCCTATGATATAATATTTTAACATATCTGTTGATGATTTCGTTGATTTTAAAGATATTATACCGAATAATCCTCAAGATTCGTTCTATGTGCCAACATGACTTAAAAGGAAAACATTGGATCTTACTGTTCATGAATGAATTCGAATATTTTTTTTGGTAAAAGGATTTCGAATTTATATATGAAAAACTAACGTTTGAGTTGAGGAAAAAAATGGAATCATTTTGAGAAAGGGAAAGGGAAGGGAGTGTTTTAAATAGATTTTATTTTGAAAGTAAAGTGTGTTTCAATCATGAGACCATGTTATATCATCATCACATAACTCTTAAATATATACTAGGGGTGCGATATGCCACCACTACATGTTTTGTTAACTTTTTTTTTTACCACAGTCTATATTAAAGAATTCAAGTTGGAACGGGTCATATTATCATCTGGTCTAAATATATGTCCATATGTCATATGATCTTAGAAAATTTTGGATGTCAACATATCATGAGTTTGAAGGATTACATAACGGATGTCAGTTAACATGACTAATACTAGAGTTTTATCCCGAATGGATATGTATTTTTACGTTTTTATAAATTAATACTATATTTATTTCATGATTAGTGTTATATATTCTAAATGTGTTATTATATAATTAATTATATTGAATCAAATGATGTAATATGATTATTTTTAGTACAAATTGTGAATCTATTTTAAATATATTAGTTATATAGATATTTTTTTTATTCTTATATATCAGTACCAAATCCATAGGGATCGAAGAATACTCTACTGAAATCTATCGATAAAATTTTTAATATTTTAGTGAGACATAATTTTGAAACTTAAAAATTTTGATATTAGAAAGAAACAACACATACTTAAACGGTATCCGAATGACAATGTGTAACTGATATTTTAAACAAATAAAAAAAAGATCGTTTTAAATTCTTGTCATAAATAGAGTAATTTTATTTAAATATGTCGAGTTACTATGATAAAAATAATTAATGAATTAATTAGAAAGAGGGGAAAAAAGTAATAAATGTAATAAAATAATTAATCTGTAATTTCTGTTTTGTAATTCTGTCTAAATGTTATCAAAATATTTTGGAAAAGACATTAAATGAAGTGTTTATAATACATTAAAAAGGTAAAATAAAAATTGTAAAAGAAAACACTTAAACTTTGGAAAGTATCTGCATTACTATTTTAATAAAATGTATAATTTATTAGCGGCATTCTTTTTTGGGCAGAGATTAGCGGCGTTAATAACATGCATGATTTTTTGCAGTTTTGTGTCATAAGGATTATATATTGATGCCAATCCAAACTAAGCACTTTTATTCCTTTTTCATGTTGTTGCAGTTGAACGTTGAAACTTGTCTCACCTATACTTTAATATAGGGGTGGGCACAATTACTTGTTACTCGGTTTGTACTCGCTACTTGATTCGTACTTGGCTCTTAAAGTCGAGTACTCGTTTTGTCCAAGTCAAGTATCAAGTCGTTTGTTTCAATTACTTGCAAGTACAAGACAAGTACCAAGTACTAAAATAAAAATAACTACTTGGCGTTGTTGGATTGTTACTCGTGATTTTATTACTTGATTTATTACCCATTTTTTATTTTTAGACAAACAAATCTCTAAATTATAATCAAATTACTTGTTTATAAAACAAATAAATTAAAAGTGATATATTATAGAAATATTTTAAAGTTTTCTTTTAATTTTATATATATCATATATCGATTTAAAAACATATGAAAATTAAATAGATATTCTTTATTAAAAATTGTTTAGATTATAATTATAACTAACTAAATGTTTTTCAATTCATATACAAGATTTAAGTAGCATACGTTAACAAACTTTTATTGAATAATTTATAAATAATTATATAATCATTTATAAATTAGTTGAGATGCAACAAGTAGTAAAACGGAGCAAGTACTTGCAAGTATACCATTTTTTAGCAAGTATTTGAAAGTGCAAGTACTCGTTTTTAATAAACCAAGTATAAGTCCAAAATTTTATTACTCGAACAAGCCAAACCAAGTACCAAGTAAGCCAAAAATGGCAAGTACTTGGCTTGTGCCCACCCCTACTTTAATATACATATGTTTCATTTGTAAAGGAAGTCCTCATCAGATATATATTTTTATGATTCCAAAGAATTACAGTTTCAAATATATATGTATATAGTATCACAAAATTTTCTTAGTTCTTTTACCACATGCAAAACAAATTATTCTCGTTTTATTACTTTATGGGGTTGATAAAATTTATTGTTTTTAGGGCAAGAAACAAGATTTAATTTGACTTATAACGATATGAAAATTTGCAATTAAAATACAAAAAAACATTGATAATCTAGTAATGATCGAACGGTCATGATATTTAAAGTCTCACGGTTTAACTTCTGTGTGCAGCACCCACATACGGTATATAGCTAAAGCATAGAGATCACTTCGCAAGTAAAGGAATATTTTTTTTTTTTTTTTTTGTAATTATAATCTACAATATCTGTGTTGGAAACCATTGTTGATGCGTTGTTGTAACCTACAACTATGGATTATTGTTTCTAATTGATTGCGAAAATCAGGTCTTAAGGAGAAGATTCCAATAGGTACTAGAGCTGTCAACCCTACGTCGGCATGTAACCAAATGCAGTAATTGAACAGCACGTAAACTCATGTCATGTTTATTCTGTTGTTCATCAGACTTTCTTTGCCACCTATTATGAATTTATTGAATATACTGTATATACTAAACTGTAAATACATACTTGTGTAAATTATGTATCCACATATTCGATTCGATTGATTTAATAAAAATTTAACTATGTTAATATAAAAATCTGCACAAAAATACTAGAAATGTTAATATAAAAAGGAAGGAAAAATTAGAATCCTAATTAGTATTTGAAAAAGTAAGGTTGGTAGACCTTAAACATCCCTTCAACGGCTGCTTTTGTCAAAAGAAAAAGAAGCTGTTTGGTTGGTTTGTTCATCGCTGGTGGCATCTTATGTTTCTTATTATAATTGTACATTCTTGCATTCTGTATTTAGCTGTTTTCCCCTTTTTATTCTTTTATATGTAACCCACTTACTTATTTTATATATATATATATATATATATATATATATTTAAGAAATGATTGATCGCAGTATACATTAGAGATATTAAGATTTGATCGCAGTATATAGTATACATATTTCAAGAAAAATAAGATAGCATTTTAAATACTTTATTTAAATTTTATATACCATTTATTAATAAAAAATTAGAAATGATGCCCATCTACCATTTATTAAGTATACTAACCCCTATTTTAAGTATTTTATTTAAATTTCATATACCATTTATTAAGTATACTAACCCCTATAAAAACTCTATTTTCTAGAGAAATGAAAACATCTAAGGTCTTAAACCTCTTTAATATTCATACTATATCAGTGCGTGATGTAGTTATGCAATAAAACAACAATTTCATATTTTCTTATTTTTCTTGAAATATGTGGGCTAACCCCCTACGAAAATACCGAATTTTCTGATAAATGCTATTTGTAATATTTAATCTCTTTAGTGTTATCTACAATTAACTAATCACACCAAAACGTATTTATATGTATGGTAAACTTATTTTCATGGTAGATGGGCATCATTTCTAATTTTTTATTAAGTAATTTATTTAAACTTCATATACCATCTATTAAGTAGACTAACCCCTATAAAAACTCTATTTTCTAGAGAAATGAAAACATCTAAGGTCTTAAACCTCTTTAATATTCATAATATGCCAGTGCATGATGTAGCTATGCAATAAAAAAAAATTTCATTTCTTTTTATTTTTCTTGAAATATGTGGGCTAACCCCTACGAAAATACTGAATTTTCTGATATATGCTATCTATATCACACAAAAAACCTTTCTTATATGTATGGTAAACTAATTTTCAAGGTAGATGAGCATCATTTCTAATTTTTTATTAAGTAATTTAGTTAAACTTCATATAACACCTATTAAGTGGAATAACCCCTATAAAATCTCTATTTTCTAAAGAAATAGAAACATATAAGGTCTTAAACCTCTTTAATATTCACACTATGTCAGTGCATGATGTAGCTATGTAATAAAACAAAAATTTCATTTTTTCTTATTTTTCTTAAAATATGTAGGTACCCTACGGAAAAACTGAATTTTCTAATAAATGCTATTTGTAATATTTTAATCTCTTTAGTATTATTTACAATTAACTAATAACACCAAAACGTATTTATATGTATGGTAAACTTATTTTCACTTAGATGGGTATCATATCTAATTTTTTATTAAGTAATTTATTTAAACTTCATATACCATCTATTAAGTAGATTAACTCCTATAAAAACTCTATTTTCTAGAGAAATGAAAATATCTAAGGTCTTAAACCTCTTTAATATTCAAACTATGTCAGTGCATCATGTAGGTATGCAATAAAACAAAAATTTCATATTTTCCTATTTTTCTTGAAATATGTGTGCTAACCCCTAGGAAAATACTAAATTTTCTGATAAATGCTATTTGTAATTTTTAATCTCTTTAGTGTTATTTAAAATTAACTAATCACACCAAAACGTATTTATATGTATGGTATACTTATTTTAA